AGACTCCTGAAGCTGTAGGGTCTCTGAGAACACCCTATCTATCTCTTGCTCACCTTCTCAGATGCTACACAGCCTGCTGACTTCCTCCTGTAACTCCTTTACCTTGGCAACACAACTCATCGACAACAGCACATCTTCTGCAGAAAAGTTGACTGTCAGTCCCAGCCTCACAGAGAGGCCCCAGGCACTCCCTGCAGCCTGAGAGCTGCATCCACTGTCAGAAGGTCTCTCTGGGTGGAAACCTCTGACACAGCTGGTGCAACAGCTCCAACAGCTACTGGGAAAGATGCTCTGCAGTGTGTCATAAGCATACCTGAGGAGGCATACACTACTATAACAGGAGACAAAGGGACCTTCTCACTCCTTGCTGCATGAACTGCTGCAGTCTGGGAGCTGTGTTCTAGGCCTGGCTCTTATATAGGCCTCTGCCCAGCACTAACTCACAGGGTGCTTGACCCACCCTAATCAAGGGCCAGCTGGAACAAAGGCCCCAACTCCCTCTGATCAGGGGCAACCAACAGAGCTCGTTAGCAGCAACTACACCTAGCTAGAGCTTCCCAGGAGAAGATAAGGCCTCCTGTAGCTGTCTTTGCCTAGCTCTCCTTCCCTGTCAGCAGTGAGCACCCTCTAGTTCCTCAGAGGGTCTCTAGAAAGCCCCCACAACCTCCAACAAGGTTCTCAGAAGTTCTAAGCAGAGCCCAGACACTGCTGCACAAGCTGCTGCCTCTGTTTGCTGTGCTCCTTAGAGGAGCCAGTGTTTGTGCTGGGTGAAAAGCAGGTTATTAAAAACAACCAACCAATCTTCCTAAAAGTGGCAGGTGAGGATCTTCCATCCTTCTCACTCTTTGGTTCATTTTTCTAGAATTTCAGTCAAATTTTTTCACCATTTTTTAAAATACTTTTATGTAAATAATGCTTCTTTACTGTTTCAAGTTGTCTTTCTATGAACAAAATGATTGTATGAATGTGTAGTTTTTCTTTGGCTTATCGTTCCCTGTAAGCCTTCAAATACACAGAAGACTTGAATGATTCAGAGGACCTTGCTTAAAAATGAGAGCATGTGAGACTCATTCCTGTGCATATTAGTATCTGTGCCAAGGGGTGCAACTCCCACAGCCCTCTTTGTTGCAGCCAGGATGTTAGAGGTTTAGTTTAGTTAAGAACTCCTTACTATTTAGTATACATAGGGTAGTTTGTCTTAGCTAAAGGCAACTAAAATAAATCTTTAAAAAATACAATTGCTTGCCTGGAAACCTTCCATGCTGTGTGTGTAGTTGTTTCATGAGGGACTAGATCATGGTTTACTGCAGTCAACAGTTTCAGCATGTGATATCATTCAAGTTGGTTTTATTCTTTTGTGTTAATCTCTTATGTGCTGTTAGCACATAAACTGGCAAATAGTCCTATTGTAAGAGTTGCAGTCAACACAGTTCTCTGTGTTAAAATCCTTTAAAATGATTATAATCGTGAATCTTTTTTAGTAAGATGGCAAAGCCTGTGATGGTAGGAAGTTCTGGCAAAGCCTTGGGCACTTCGCTACACCAGCTGCTCCTTATCTGACAGATAAAGGACTACTCTGAAAGAAAAGGTTTATAGCTATTATAAACCCCATTATATTCAAATGTTTTAGGCTGAAGGAACATTCTTTTGAAAATCATGCTCTGTTTTGGGGAGGTTTGTTGTTGTTAGTGTTTACACTTTAATGTGGGAGTAATTGGTAGAAAGTAATTCTGATTTCAAGGAATTGGGGGATTGTCTGGTTTGACAGTCTCATCTCCTGGGCTGATACAATTCATTGCCTGTCTTGCTTTCCACCACAAGAATATAGTGACTGAAAGAATATGAGGTTCTTCTGTGTGTTTCTCCCGTGTTGTAAAATCCATGAGACAAAGGCCTTAAATGTTTACATATAGTCAAATGGGTTTTTGGAGGAACATGAGTTTTATGCTGATTTTAAAATTAAAACAGGAAGTAAAGTGGATAATTGTGTGGGTTTCCTCCCTCCTTCCCCTTTCAAATGCTCATTGTTTATGTCCTTTTTTTTCTCCTGGGGAAAAAGAAACAGAAAAGACAATCCTCCCTTTCTTTTTGTAATTAAAGGGTACCTTGTTATCATATACCTGGAGATGAATTGGATAGATGAGATTATGTTCTTTTTAACGTTTCAAATTACAGGTCAGAATTGCAACAACCTTACAGGTGTTGCTGAGAAGGACATATATTTAGCAGGCTGCTGCAGCCTTGTTTTGTATTCCTTGCTGCACTTCTGAGGACTCATATTGCTACAGAAGCTTGAGTCTAGGGAAAGGTTTGCAAAGTAGCTTCAAACTATCTTACCGCTGCTTCTGGATGCTGCATATTCTATGTGTTTGTATACTTCTCCCATCACGTACTGTCTTTCCACTTGAACTTACATCAACTTTTTCTATTAACGGGGGCTATTCTTTAGTGCAGTGCATGTCATCCTTTCCTATGCATATGTGCCCTCACTATGATATTCTTTATGTATGGGACAACTGTTGCTCTCTTACGGTTACCACATACTACCAGAGTTTGCCTCTTCTACTTTAAGTCTTACACCCTTTTTTTTTTTTCTTTCTTTCTTTCTTTGAGGTATGGAAATATTATGGACCAGAACCAAAGTGTCAATCATTTCATTGACATCAAAAGATCAGTGCATTTTTAGGGTCTTGCAGTAGGCATGTACTAGCTAGGGTCCTGCAGAGCCATGTACTAGTTGTTCTTATTACTATGTTTCTATTTCAAGCACAAACTAGTTCTAAATCTGCCAGGAGCTTTAAAAGTGTTTGTTTGTTTGTTTGTTTTTTCCTCCTCTCTCTCTCTCAGAAAGAGCTCCAGTTCCTTTAATACAAGTTGGCTCTTCTATCAAGTTTGGTTAGCAGAGCCATGTTCTGAAAGTGAAGTTTTTCTCCCTTGCTTAGTTTTTAGAAGGCTGTTAAGAAGAGACAGAGCCATTTAAAATGATTTATATTATCTTCTGCTTTGCCCAGGCAGAGTGACTTCTCAGCACATCTCTCAATGGTTGTTTTACTTGGTTGTTTTCTGGTACATTGAATTCAGTTTACCTTCTAGTTTACCCTGACAGAGCACCTGGAGGACATAACAATTTGCTCTGTTTTGCAACCTATTTCCAGTCGCTTTAAGAAAATGCTGTGATTGCATCTAAGAGGCCAAAGCCCACAGAAAGCAGTCTGATTTTCTCTTACTTTCTGAACAAGTGGCCTTGTTCAGATTTGATTTGACTGAATGTTCAAACCATAACTAGACAACACTTAAGGCTTAATTCTTTTTCTTTCTTCATTCCTTCTTGTTTGTTTCTATTTGTTATTATTCCTTTCTTATTTCTATATTTTTTCTGTATTTGTATTTTTCATGTCTCCATCTCCTTCTCTGCTGACATTTCTCCCTGTGTCTGAAATGAGTAGTTATGTAAATGAGGAAAAAAATGAGAAATCAACAGTTCTTTATTGAGGTTGACCATATTAAAAAAGTGCAGCATGAAGTCTTGGGAGGGGAAAATATTTCTTCATCTTGAAAAGCAGTCAAATGCTCCAAAGGATAACAACCATAACAAAAAATTTAATGCATTTTTTTTCTGTTGCTTTTGTACATCACATGGAATTATGTGATATCCAAAGATGCATTCGAGGAATACTGCAGCATACAGGTAGATGCTGCAGTCAAAGTAGCTTCAAGAATTTCACGACTGTAGAACTAATTTCCATATGCAATTTATACAAACCAATGAGTTAATAAGCTTGAGAAGATGCTATAGTAAAATGTTCCAGTAGCTTAATTGCTGCTATGAATTGCATTCACTTAATTATATTTCTCTGTTCCAACTGTTTCCTTCCTCCATTGGCCGCTGTAATTTCATTTTGCCCTTTTTTCCTGGTTTTCCTCCTCCTCCTCCTCCCTTAAAATCACCATCTCTTTAAGATTTAGGAAAGTTAGGTTGACTGTGTGCCAGCATTAGAATGAAGGGACTTTTAAAACCAACTAGAGTATTATAGAACTATACATTACTATGACTTAAATTTGCACAAATGCTTTCCTTTAAAACAAAAAAAAAAATCTTGTTAAAACTGAGAATCTAGTCTCCTGTACTAGTGTAAATGTCCGTTGAAAGTTAATTTCATAAGTTAAAATATTTTCATAAAAGGATTATAATTCTCCATTCAGGTCTGTAAGATGCTTCCCTAAATGAGTACAATGCTCATGTGCTCCATTTTTGCTCGAAGTCTCCACTTGTCCTCTTTCTGTCCATCTGAGGATAGCTATGCTGTTTAACTTTGGTACAGAGGCCCCTCACACTAGTTACTGTATGGAGGCCCTACTTGCTTTAATAGCAGTTCTGCCTTTGCTCTTGCTCCATCCCTGCTCTCTCCCATGTTGTTATCAGCAGGCCTGACAGTTACAGTGGCTTAGGTAATATAGGTGTTTTTTTTCCCACACTGTTTACTTTTCGAAGATGCAGTATTTTCTTAAATTCTCATTTCCAATTGGAACTTAAAACATGAAAAGTATCAGGCTACAAATAGCCCTGAGGGCTCTGCCTACCTGCACGTCATGCCTGACATGACATTTTGAAGTCTTCTACGTGGTTTTCACGCTTCTTTTATCCTAACATGATTATCACAAGATACCTCTTTGATTAGAATAATAGTCTTTGATTTGCTCTCATCCCTTCTGTAATCACTAAAAGATCACTGGCCTAGGATCAGATAATATCTTGAATGCTATCAGAGATACAACAGTGGGGTATAATGCTGTGTGCATTAATGTAGAACTGAGGAGACTGACTGCAGGAGTGAAATCATTCTGTTATTGTGTGTTTGTGTTGTTGTTGTTGGGTTTTTTTTGGAGAAGTGAAATTATTTTACTTATTTAAGGCCCAGTATTGCTGCCTTTGTTTGGGAATAGATAATATAGTCTAACTAAATATTGGAAACAGAAACAGTTCTGTTGTGCTCTGGTTGTATTAGCCAAATTTAATGAATGATTTGTTCCATTTTGTAGTCTAGGCATTATCATTACCAGGAATAACAATTATACATAACATCTTTGCACTTCACTCTGACAGGATGCAACTGCTTCCTGTTTATTAAGTAGAACAAAATAAAACAAGTCCCAAAACCAAAAACCAAACCAGCAACCCAAATGTGTTTTGTACTGCTTGGATCAAGCAGTAAAAACCTGTGAGGTGCAAAGCTGTGTATAAATTGATTTGCATGGTTTGTTTGTATTTTGCACATGCTCTGGTTTCTTTGTTATATATTTTATTTCTTTTTATATGTATATATAATATATCTTGTTTTTGTTTGATTCACTGCCTGATGCTTAATCATCACTCAGGCTGCTTTGTAAGACTCTTGGAGATCACTCTTTCAGAGTGACTGAGGCAATGTTGTTTGCTATTGTTCTCATGTTTTTTTCTTTATAATGTTTCAGCTCATCCACCATATACCATGTGCTTTAGAGTGAAATTCTACCCACATGAACCCTTGAAGATTAAAGAAGAGCTTACCAGGTATTTTTTTTTGTTTGTGCATTTAATGTAAATTGTTAACAAGTCCAAAATAAGACAGCTAGTTGTGTAGGGTAGGGTTTCCATTTTCTGTTATAAAATGCTATAGTAGTACATTTGCACTATTTATAGCTTTTATACTTAATGTGATATCTATGACATTCTAAATACAGTTTAAGGGGACTTTTCTATAATGTACAAAGAAGTAGTGTTGCTGCTGGGGCACTCTCGGAAAGAGATGCAGTGGTCAAAAGATTGGGCAAGGATTATCCTGACTCTTCCATTGATGATCGTTTTGGTCTTCCTCTTGTGTCTTAGGTTTTCTCTTTTTGTAAAATAAAACTGTGAAGTTTAATTCAGTAGTGGCCCTAACTCTATAAACAGGAACATGGATAACCTCACTGAATTTGCTCTTGTGTGTGTGTCTTTAGGACCAGGATAAGCACTGGTAGACTTCCTTTAGAAAACTGATGTAGAGGTGCAATGTAATTATAGTGCAAAAGTATAGCTACGATAGAGATTAAGGAATCTTGCTGCTTACCTGATAATCTTCCAGCAAATGCTTTGAAAACACGCCTGTGCAACAGATCAATCATACTTAATAGATGGGAGTATGCCTTTCCACATTGTTCATCAGCAGCTGACCAAAAATTGCACATTGCAGAAGCACTGAGCACTTTATCGACGCTTTCCCCAAGCTCTGCAAATTCTTACACTCATGAGTCACTTTGTGAATGGGAGAGGTCCCATTATCACTGGTCTCCTACTGAAAGTTTCAGGAACAGCTTGCATTCTGCTAAATGGTGAGTTTATAGCTTGTATAGAGCAGCTGGAACATGCTGTTTATCTTGGGTAAAATATTAAAACTATTTAGCTGAGTGAACAGGTTGTAAACCAGGAAGTCAAGGGATTTTCATTATTTGTTAGTAATTGTCCTTGAATTAACATTTTACTTTCTCTGAGCTTGGTATAGATCGTCCCTATTCAAGAGCCTTAATTAGGTTTTTTTTTTTTTTTAAAGTACTTGGAAACCCTTCCAGAAGAAGTTTTGTCCAAATGCAAAGCACCCAAAATCAACTCATTGATGTGTATAGTGCTGTCAGTATGTTTTAAGCTTTGCTGGACCATTTCAAATTAGTTTTAAAGTCAAGCTGCTATTTGAAAAATATTTTATGTTCTTTTGTTTAAAGTAATACTATTAAGGTAATGGAAGACCATAAAAAGGAGAAATAATCCCTTTTCATTTGTTCACCTTGTGCACGTGACAGCATTTTGTATGTGATCAGCTTTACCGTTTTCCCCCTTGTTGCTGTTTGGGAAGCTTTGCTTGGTGTCTGCACAGGTCTCCTATACCATAACAAAGTATAGGAAGTGCTCCTGAAATGAGCAATTAAAATGCAAAGTCATACAACTCAGCTCTGAGGATTTGCTTCACTGTCTAAAGCAGAGGGTCAGACTCAAGGTGACACTCTAAATTGGCTTAAATTATATTTTTTCTTGAATTGCAATGGTTGAAATTAAAGAAGAAAAAGATTCATTAGTATTTGACAGAGGGCAGTCCTGAAACCTTGGCATCTGGTAGTTGGGGTCTTTTTGTTTTGTTTTTTGAATTCTGCTGTATTAACTGGACAGTCACATTTGTTGTAGTATGTGCTTAAGATTGAAAAGAAATGAATAATATTAAGTCACCCTTTGACTTAAAAGCCATCTGTACTTCACATCTGTATGTGCAGTCAGCTGAGTCACAGTAGTAGTACTCTGCATTTCTTATAGTAACCGTGCCTAAACATGTTACAGTGTTGCTCTTACTGGGTAGATATCTAGTGGGTATCTGTAGTCTCCATTTAGATAATGAAATTAAGATATAGTGAGATTTGTCCTGTCACATTGTCCTACTACTGTTTGATTCAGAATATTAATTAACCCTGTCTTAAATCGCCCATGTGGATTATTGTCAATACAGTCTTTGTAAAAGCTTCATAGGAATAAATTTTTAATAAAGGACCTTAGAGACTTCAGAGATGTACAGATGCTAAGAGGAGCTGTTTTACTTTCTCTTTCATTTCAATTTATGAAGCTGTGGGGGGGGAGGTAAATTGTTTGATTTATTGGAAAATAGTATAAAATGGAGAGGAATAGTACTCTGGATTTAGACATCACTTTCAGGAGGAGAATTGAGCATTTGTCACTTCAAATTACTGCTGCTTCATTTCTGTCCTACCTTCGGTAGAATGGGCTGTAATTCTGTTGTTTTACAGTTGGAATTGTTTTCAGGAAATTAAGATAGAAAATGGCCTAGCTGAAGTCATCCTTGGCTACTGTGTTATAGGGGGAAAAAAAAGTCATAATCTGAAAATTTATGCACACCACATGTTCAGAGGCCTTGTTTCAGGAATCCCTTGGGCAAATGATTGAGCCACTCTCTTTCCTGTCATTGCATTTAGTTCCACTGTTAGGGAGGTGAGTGAATATTGTCAGTCATATCATATCGCATTCTAACCATTTACTTTCATCTTCCCTCTTTTTAATTAATACTGGTTTCTTTAGCTATGTTTTTGAAATAAAATCAGTGCCTGCTTCTGGATGTTGAAGACTTTGAGATATTATTTCTTACTTAGAAATTGTGGACTCAGGATAAAATTTCAGTGTATCCCTACAGAAGTAGGTTCCTTCTGTGTGGTCCTTGCACACTGTTTTTTCTAGGTTTTGCTGATGTTAAGATTCAAATTCACAATATAACTTATTTGGCCATGGGGGTTGTCACTTTGCGCTCTCTTGTTTTTGTATTAACAGACTGTGTGAACCCCTATGTGTCAAAAAAACCCCAAATCTTGCTGCACTTGAATGTGTAAGAGATGGATGCTCCATCTCTTTAACTTGTGTCAACGTGGATTTAGAAGATCTGCTCTTATCTTTAGAAATTCTGCTCCCTCAGAGGGGCAGTGAGGCCATACATGTTTGAAACCAGTTTGAGGAAGACTAAAGACACACTTTTCTTTTAAACGCCTTTTTAAAGAATTTTGTGATGAGAAAATGGCAAGGATATAACTTACTTTGCTCAAATGAGTGGACCTCTAAATTTATTTCAGGTGCCTGGAGACTCAGCAGATTTCAACACAAACGGTGAATGTAGTTTTTTTTTTTTTTTGGAACAGTTTGTGTAATCATTTAAACAGAGAATGATGTTCAACCCTAGTGATAGTGTTCTTCTATACCATGACCACCTCTGAGAGTGACTTCTGTTTCATATGCAGTATCTGGAGGGTGTCAGGCTCTTCTGATTTTTTTATATCTATGACTTTCTAGATCAGATAATCTGGCAGTCTTATAGGATGCATGAAGTCAGAACAAAGTACTTCACTTCTTGAAAGCAGCATTTATATGGCTTCACTGAGCCTCCCTCCTGAGGGTAATTACTAGTTTTTAATTAGGCAACGGCCAACATAACAAGCAGGTCCTCACATCTCCCTTGTTCCCTGCTGTGCATACCTGTAAAACATAGTTTCTTTTTTTCATTAAATCAAACATCTGCTCTGCAACCTGTTTTCTGGTTGAATCTCCACTGGATTGTGGTAGAGGCCTTGAATACATACACTTTCAGTATTGCTGCTAATTTCCTTTCTGTCTTTCACTTTGGTCCGTTCCAGTTGTTTTTCCACAGAGCATGACAAGTTTGGTGGGAAGAGCTGTTTGTTTTTAGCCATGTGCATGCAGAAAAACTGATGGATATTCCAGAGTTCACTGTAATGATCAAGATTATTCCACTGACATGCAAAGATATAAAATTGCCATGAAGGAAGCTGTAACAGCAGTAATCACCCGATCCGCTGTGCACACAGTGTCCAAAGACTGGTCACACTTGGGCAGAGGTTTTTACTATGCTATTTCTCTTCAGTGTTCTTGTTTGGGTAATAAATAAATCAGTGTTTGTTCTTTCTTATGGAATAATGTAGCCCAGGGCCTCATGCCTTCTTATGTCCGCATCCCTACATCATACTGTGTACATATAATTAAAATGAGCGAATCTAAAGTCATTTGAGGTCCCAAAGGGATGTTCTGAAGTATTATAGATAATACTGAATCAGCAGTAATCCATGACTACTGCAGAGAAAACTGAGACCCTGAGGGGTATGGCTGAGTAGCTGGAGACATTAACCAAAGATGGATTATTCCAACTAGCCTTCATCGTGCACTTTTTTCCTAATCCATATGTTAGAAGCAGATCTTGAATCATTGGGCTGTCATAAAACAATGTAATAAGAATTTTGCTATCAGAAAAGCAGCTAAAAAATGCTTAGCTGGAAATCATATAAGATGACAAAGACTTGGGGTATGTAAACACGGCACAATTAAAGAGCTCTGAGTGAGCTAGCTTGGGTGAGGAAGAATAATACAGCCACACGCATGTGCTGCTTGAGTAGACCTATCTCAGACAACTCTACCTGCTGCTCCCTTGTGCTATAAGATCCTGGTGCTTTTCCCTCCAGAAGAGTGTGGGGCAGCCAGTTGAGGCCAGTAGTGCTCTTTTTGATTGTTATCCTTGAATACCAAGCCATTTATTGGCAAGCCTAAAAGAAGATTTAAGATGGCTAAGATACTTCAAACAAAGCAAACATCTTAACTCCATTTAAAAAATTTAATTTATCTGTGTTAAACCAAGAGCTTCGTCATCCCTTCCATAGGAACAGTTTTGTTAAGGGTTCGCAAACTCCTGAGCCATACAATGTCACCTACTATCCAAAACAAAGCTGCAATCTATCCCTTAACTTTCCTTTGTCCTTTGTATTCATTGATCAGTTACATTTGTTGCATCTAAAAAATTTATTGCATAGCTATAAAATCTTTTTCCCTGTAACCAATGCTATCAAGTAGTGATGCTCACCATCCTGTTTTTCATGTCCAGTCCAAAGTAAGACCATTCACTGTGATGGAGGTACTGACCTGCTTTGAAGCCAGGAAGACAAGCCCACGTATTGCTCGAGCTAATTGGCAGTCATCAGTCT